TTGGGCATGGACGCCTGTGAACCTTTCGTGTAGGTGAAAGTACCTCTGCGGCTCTATTGATTCCAGCTAGAAGAATAGACCTATTAAAACCTACTTCAGCCCCTGAAATGACATGAGGTAGGTAGTCGATGCACATGGTCTGGTATAAGTATGTGAGCAAATAAGCAAGTAGTCCTTCGAATATCATCTTGGCTCTAGCCAGTCTAGCGGCATGCCAGTGCCGTGATGTCTTGGTGAGACACCCCGCCTCCTCGTCATCAAAGCGCGTCAGGGCTGCGAGTGGAACGGACCCCAAATGAACGTCGAACGACGTCAATGGGCCTTTGAATATCAAAGGGTTTCCCCCTCACCTCGGTCAAGGCAATGACAGCGCGGCGTCCTGCATCTCGATTCCAGCGGATATGCGAGCCGTTTTTTGACATTGAGGAATCCTACCATAGTTTAGCGGATACGCCATGACCAGCTATGTACGTCACGAACGTTAGGTTTCGTAATCCCTTCCCCTCACATCGTGTAACCGCATACCGGTGGTGCAATACACCAGGATTGCGCCTTCGTGTCACAGGTGGTCTAGGAGATTTTGGATGTTTGGCTTTGTTCATAAAGTCTGCTTCCGCTGTCTGATAGGAAATTTGTCGTTCTTGTTCTCTCAGAAAATCAGTGTGAAGACTCCAAATCCCCCGTTTCAGTGGAGTTCGTGATCTTATCCACATTTACTCGCCAACTCCTCATCATCCACGCGTCGACGTCATAATCATGGCTGACCCAACTGTCATTGTCTTGCCCGGAACGGCTGATAGCTCTCATCGTACTGACCAAGGAAGATCGCAAAGTAAGTTTTGTAGGCACGGCAGCAATATATGTGGATTAGAAGACTAACAATTATTCTCTCAACTTCTTAGTTGCATCAAAAATTCAGAATGCCTTGAACGAAGAACAATCGCCAAGATCGACGCAGGAGGGCCCATTGCGACAGGTTTTAGGTATTGGGTGAACTTCGTTCGTCAACTAAAACAAGATGCTAACAAAGCCCTTCACCCAGCCCAGCAAGACAGCTTCTACAAGTATATCAACGTACGTACTTGCTCATGTAGCGCCAGCACTGGAGCTTTGCTAACTTGTAACATTAGTGGGAAGATCCTCTACGCACCCTTGGTGTATACATCGGTACCTTGAGCATTTTGTTTGGGGCACACTACTTACCCCTCACTCAATTGGCATTGAAGGCGGCGGTCACTACTCTTGGAGGTAAGACTGGACACACTTACTCATGTGAGCCAATGCTTAAGTTTCCTAGCCGTCTCTGCTGCTGAGTATGCCAGCCGGTCCTTCAGTTCCGACTCCTTATCCACACGCCTTCGACCGAGACAGTATAGAAGAGTGCCGGAGTCTACACTCAACAACACTCTGAGAGATGTTCACGACTTTATTCAATACGCAGTGGTAGAAGCTCAACGAATCATATATGGCGAAGACCTGGGAAGAACGTTTGGCGTAAGTGAACACTAGATACAAACTTAATTCGCCATGTGATATAGAATTCAGTGACTAACCTATTTCCAGGCATTCGTCGGATTTGCATCTGTGTATGCACTCATTAAAGTCCTTTCTCCGTTTTGGTTAGCTGTAGTCGGAGTGACCGCCATCTTCGTTGCTCCTCTCGCAGCCTCGCCTCAGGGACGGCAGATCGCCCACGACGCCACTGTGCAGGCTCAAAATGCGGCAAACGTGACCGCTCAGAAGGGCGCAGAGCTCGCTCGTGATGGACAAGCAAAGACGGCGGAGCTGTCCTCTAAGGCACAACAAGCTGCTTCTGATGCGAGCACGACCTTCGGCAACGCTGCTCGGAGCGGGCAACAGACGGTCTACAACGCGACCAACACAACTGCTGATAAGGCGAGAGACTTGCCGCAAGCAGGCACAAATGCACTCAACAATGCTTCTGCATCTATTACATCGACCTTGGGAGACGTCAAGCACAACGCCACCGGCTCATCGGCGACCAACAACAGCCGGACGTTTGATGAGAGAACTCGTCAGCCGCCCTCCGGATATGTCACAAGCACAGGATCGGATGGCCTCTCTCGATCGTCAATCAATGAGACTGAGATACCAAGACGTGCCCCTTTGGACCTTGAGGATCAGCTCTCTGCTGAACAGTCTGGTCTGCCTTCACTCCCTAGGTCCTTGCCAGTCAAATCTGATATTGAGGGTTTGGGAAATGGGACGGCTACGATTCTCCAATAAAAGGATGGATATGTCGGCGTTGTTGATCAATCATAGTTTCAAAGAGGAAAGGCCTAAAGTAGCTTTGAAGCAACGACTGTAAACTAGATGCTGCAAGCTTCCATATTGAACTTAACATCTTGAAACTAGTAATTCAAAAAGTTTGCACCATAATTGTTAGCTCGTAAAGGGTTGAAGTCCCCGAGGCTTGGTTCGGCCATCACCTTGGTGAGGTGAGGGGCAGGGTGAGCTCTTGATGCGCCAGAACTCCATATTGCGACTCCCTCACAGGCAGTCTTTGGAGAGCATCTTCTAGTGTAATGAAAGCTCGACCTCCGAAATGAAACAGCTTTAAGCTTGAACTATATGAGGCTTCGTGATTAAGGCGGACGCAAGACTTATCGATGGATGTTGTTGATGCCAAATAAAATGGAAATGGGATGAGTGTTACGTATGGGAAAACATAGTTATTGTATAAATTTGGGATCGAGAAGTCGCGAGCCAGTTGTCTCAACTTGCTGCACGCAATGGGAAATCATGATTGCAGCAGCTGAGCAGACGAACGTACGACAGGAATGCTTCCTAGATATTGCTTCGCCTCATACTTACCCTGTATCGACTTTCAACTTGGTGTTGACTCAAATACCTTAGCAACACACCCTTTTCGGCTGGAGCTTAACTATCTTTATCGATGCGATACAGCAAAGTTCCATGTCCGAACGAATCATACCCACCCGAGTTCGGACTGTAGTCACCACCGCCGCCTTCAATGTTGGCGGTTAGGTTGCCATTGACAAAGTCACGGAACTCCATTGACCATGAGGCATTGAGACCCTTGACCTCCGCGTAGTGGGAGTAGAGAGCTTCATAACCAGGTCGTACATCAAATCTAGCTTTTGGGGCCACGACCTCCAGCACACCTTCCCAGCTACGATAAGGCGTGTAAGGAACAGTGTGGTTGGTATTGTACTTGGCAACATACTCGGCGCTAGCTTCAATTAGCGACCTGCCAGAAAATCTGGAGTGGGACAGAAAGAGAACTCACGCGTTCAGGATCTGGCGGCCAAAGGTGTCGAAGAGATCAATTCCCTGGTTCCAACCTTGTTGCCCGATAACTCCGATGAGAGCGATGCAGAGTAAAGCATGCCCCTGGTCACGGCCAGACTCCTGGATCTGAATTAGAGTCTTTCCGCTACCCTGCTCCGTGAAGTTGGCGATTGAGAAATAGGGCAGGGCACCATTAGCCACAACCTCGGGTTGGCCCGGGATCCCGTTCTTGAAGTAGTTGACCGCGTAATTGTACATGGTTCTGTTGTCGTTGAAAATACCAATCGCCATCAACGAGGCAATGTTGCACAAGTCCCAGTTGGCGTAGTAGAAATCCGGTTTGTTGTAGTGGTGCTCGAGGAAGTCGTGGTTGTACACCGCAAAGACGCCGTTCAACATTTTGCCAAAGGCCGTCTGGTTCTGCTTGGGCCAGCCGGAGTATCCACGAAGGAGCTCGGCGGCGTTGGCAAACTGGTATCCGTAGAGCCCTGCCGCGAGATATTTGTCTTCAGTGCCGTTGATATCGACAAGGGTAGAGCTCCAGCCGTCGAGGATCTTGGCTGCGTGGTCTGCGTAGGAAGTGTTACCTCCAACCAGCCATCGAATGGTCAACTGGTACGCTGAGTGAGCATCGCGATAGGCATAGCCGTAGTTGTTGGTGGGCGCAAAGGTGGCGTTTGTGCCACGGACAAGAACCGACTGCGGCGTTGGCTTCCACGAGGTCTGAGCCAATTTTCCGGCTTCTAGATGCTGCCAGGCTCGGTACCAGGGTTGATCCTGGGCTTGAACATGGTTTTTGATTCTTGCGAAATCTTTCGCGGAGTGAAGAGAGCCTGGATGAGCGAACGACGTATCATTCAGGCCATGCAGCTTCTCAAAAGGTGAAGCTGTCACGCTCCATGACAATAAAGGCAAGAGGAAAGCGGCCTTAAGATGCATGATGACTGTTTGAGACCGAAGAACTCTGATAGAGGTACAATGCCAAGAATTACCTCAAAAGTTGAAATATGAACATGACAAAGAGTCTTATAGATATCAATTTGATGATATGAAGGTCTCCCACCCAACCTTTGGGCAACATTAGGAATCTGATGGTACATCGTCAATACCACCCCAAAAGAGTGTGCATACACAGCACCGGCGCAATCTTCCCCGGCTGACGCCCGATCCATGCTTAACCCCACAAACGCGGGGTGATAAGACGCGGCGCGCTGCGTTGCGTGGCCATCCTTCATGATCGGCACGGGCGACACCGAGATCTCTCCCGGATTTCCGGGGGCGTGAGACCTGGTCGAAGTGCGCCTCGCAAACGAAGCCGAGGAAGCCTTGGCAGAGACTCATTTTCGACAAAATCGGTATCTCTATTCGAATGGCTCATTCCCCGATGCCGAAACAAATTAGCGAACAGGTTAAAAATTTCAGCCTTTGATTCCTCACATCACACTCCGTGATCAATATGTTCTTGTCGTGTACACCACAGCTCTACACTTCCACTTTGACGGGAAAATTAGCATAAAGAGCGAAGTCAATGAGCAGTTGTATTCTGTATTAGGGTCTCGTCGCCCGGTATTACATTCTCGGTATCACCCAGGGAGCTTTGGTAGTTTCCACGAACGGCACACCGAAGAGGCACGTTTCCCTGAGAGGTTGAATCAGCAATCTACTTGCAGCAACGGCTTTCAATCGAATCAAGTTTAAAGACTATCATGGAGAATAACAAAGACAATCTAGAAACCAAAAGGCGCTGCGTTCGAGTCGTTGGGGCAACTAGCTACGAGTTGATCGCCAACTACGGCTTGAGAGTTCGAGACAACCACGCCTCCGGCCGGGTCAGTGAGTGAGAAAGTGAAGCTGCCGCACTGCTGTACATTGACAAATAATAGCCGAATTGGATAGTATTGGTCGGCCGTCGCAGTGAACGTGTAGGTGCCGGCGCTATTGGTAACGTAGTAGTCGACATTTGTGTTAGCATTGGCATTAGTGAAACCAGTCTTGGCGTTATTGCCTAGCCAAAGATAGACACCATCATCGACATTATTGAAGCTGAAAGTATACGTGCCAGAAGTGGCCGGATGGAAGTATCCGATGTGTTGAACAATCATGAACTGGGACTGCCCGCTCGTTGTGGTTCCGTAGACGGTCCGAGTCGTGGTGGCGCATTGCTGTGCAAGATCAATGGTCGTTGTCCGACCTGTGTTATCAGGATTCTGTCCAGAGAGCACGGTGTTGATGTTGAAATAAGTCATACTTCAGTCTGCTTGACCATCAGCGCCGTTACCGTGAAAAGGGATATTTCCGGAGCTACTAGCAGTCTCTGTTGGAGCTTGCGCAAGACCATAGTAGGCCCAGAGTAGCCCAGGGGTACAGCTTGCGGTCGGACTAGTGGAGGACGAAGACGAAGTTGAAGTAGACGTGGAAGAGGATGATGGTGTCACAAAAGTGATCACGCTAGTTGTGCCAGCCGGGTTGGTAGGAATTATTGTTGTCAGTCCCGTCTGCGTACCGGTCGATGTCATGGTGGTCATGAAGCCAGTAATAGGAGCCGAAGTTGACGAGGAACCTGTGGTGATAGACGAGCTGGTACGAGTCTAGATGAGAGCGTAAGACTTGCGAGAGATGAGACGAACAGACCCATCGTGTCTCCATTACATATTCCCTCTCATGTTATGTCTGGAAGCGGCGTTCACTACATGTGAGATTTGCTTCCAAGATGGGTATTGTCTGTCCAAGAGAGGCCAATACGAGCTGCTAGGGCCAAAAAAGTCAGTGAAGACACATTTCAGCTGCCTCTTAGGATCCCATGCTTTGTGGTCGGGCATCCTTGAACTTCCGATAACTTCTCTACTAATAACTTTATGGCTATGCGTCTTGCCAAACATGACTTCCGAATCTTCACTTTCCTCTTGAGCCAAGACAGATTCCCTGCATGTGCCCTAGCTTGGCACGCTGACTCGGAGAATGCCGATAACATGTTATTTCTGGCGAGCTGCAAGTCTAGGCGAAAGCATTTCACATCACTTCGTGATCCGACTGCTTACGACGGATGCGGAAAACGAGTCAAATTTTGCTTATCACTAAGTGAACCCACCGAGTGCACCTTCATTGTATGATGGTTCCGGATTCTGCTTGAAGAGTAAGCTAATGAATTCCAACCCGGAAATTTTCTCAGCTACTGGGCTGATGTAAGTGAAATTGTCTGGGATGGAAGATCGATGGTACATAAGCTCAAGATCAAGCTTGCCACGTCCTCTCACAGATCTCAAAAGTAGCTTTTGCCTCTTCGACATCCTTCGTTTGCCATCAACCTTATTCTGTGCACTTCCTGCCAGTTTAAAGAACAACAGTTTCCTATAGCCACGATGAGAAGAGAGCCTACGTGCGCCTTTGCAGCTTTTACAGCAACGACTGTAGCCTTGGGTACGGATGTCAAGACCTTGTCGACCAAAACGGCTGACTGCTCTGTAAGCCTTGAATACTCCTGATATTTCAACCGTCTTCATGAATCTGATAGACAACATTCCTAGTTCACGTCCTCTTACGACAAGCTTCCAACGTCAACAACAGGCCAGGTTGGAACCTCTTCTGTCAACTGTGGGCTGCTTGACATATACCTCATTATTCGCGTTCTAATCATCTAGCAGGGCAATCAAACACTATTGGAGGCACAATCTTAGCTTCCGAAACCATTGAAACAGCATCGGAGTTGACCTGAGTGCCAACTTCAGGTTTAATAATTCAATCGTCAAGCCAAGGTCCTGCTTCAGAAGCTACTCAGACTGCCCGCTCCTCATCAACCAACAAAACCTTGCCTTCCGGAACTACAATCGTACAGGTTCCTACATCTGGCTCTGAGAAGTTCATGCCTGTTTCCTGGCTGTCTGGAATGTTGGCTGCCTTGGCCTGATCATGTAGGAGTATTTCCGGGATGCATGTGAGGTTGATGTTTTCTGGAGAATGTCGGCAGACTCAGTTCAAAGATGCTGAAAATCGTCACTCCAAGTTTACCACTAAACGCGCTCAATATTCTGAGAATTTGCCAGATGCCGATGGTCTCCAAAATCAATTGAGAATTCTCCCTCTACTTTGCTGACTTTCTGAATTTCAACCCTTCGACGTGTTCATTGGCAAAGATGGGCACGAGATCGTCCACCATGTACCACCTAGGCTTCGGCATTTCTTCATGCATGATCTCCTCGCCAATCCTCAAATTCTCGAATGTGATATTCTTCACCATCCGATCTCGATCATACCCCATTATCATTGATGGATTGAAAACCTTTGAGTCTCTCAGGTTTGCCGACATGTTCTTGATGTGAACGTTCCGAATACCCCGACCCGGAGCAGTAGTCCACGTCGCGTTTTGCATGGTACGAATGTTGATTAGCTGCCCTTTCGTGATTCTTTCAACTCTGACATCCTCGATATGGATATCATGGAAAAGATTCTCGTCAGCAGCGTTGATGGCAATACATCCCTGGTACCATACCTGATTCTCTTCGTGATCTAAGATATCGATGTTGCTGATGCGAATGTTGCTGGTGGTTTCTGGTTTGGCAGGGTTGCCATGTGTACCCATGTTGATGGCATGAGCAATGTCCGGCAGCAACACACAATTGCGGATCGTGATGTTGTTTGAGTTACCATACCAGTTCCAGCGATGGGAATACAGCGCGATGTTATCATCCGAGTTTCGCAAGAAACAATTTTCAATAGTGATGTCCGAAGAGCAGAAGAAGTCGACTCCGTCGCCATTCCCCGAAAATGAAAAGGATCGGTATCTGTTGACGAGAATGTAATGACATTCTCCGGCGGAAAGACTGAAGCCCTCTGCGCCAAGAGAAGTGACCCCTTCAACCTTGATGTTGCTGGCTCCGCTCATTGTGATGGCGCCGCCAAGCTCTCGATAGACGTACCCACCCTCTGGTCGAAGGATAAAGCCATGACCTCGTACAGAGGAATTGGATACATCAATGAAATTTAGCCGACAGGTGATGAAAGCGCCACCGGCGAGGTACACTGTCTTGCCTGAAGGCACCATCAAGTTAACACCATCAGCGACTTTGGAATATGCCGAGCCTTGATTGATGCCCGGACCAAAGTACCAGATGTCCTCAGAGTCAGCCGTTGGCGCATCTTTGTCGATCTGGTTCGTCAAGAGATGAAGCGCTTTCCACTTGTCTCCGTTGATCTCTATCATCAAATCTCGTGGTTGATCGAGATTAAAGACAATCTTGTCGTTTTCGACTTGCGCTATGATGCCCAGAGAAAGAGGCCGAATGACTGCCGTTGCAATGGCAGTCGCGGTATATGTAATACTGATCGTTGTCGGTGCGTTTAAATCGAAGGAAGCTAGGGCTACCGTGTGTTTGTTGAATGTATTTCTTGTGATGTTGGGGTTTGCAACGTCCACTGCGTACGCCGGTATCTGGCGCCACTGTTGAGGAGCATCGCCCGATGCATATGCTCTTGAAGGGCGGGCTTCAACGACGAAGTCTTGGTTGATTGGTAAACTGGGAGGAGCTTCGTAAATTTCGATCGTATTCGATGCCATCTTGTCAAACACAGAGTGTACCGTGGGTATTCGTGGATAGTGTGGAGAGGTGTTAATGAAACGGCGTGAGTCTATTGACTTGGGCAGAAAGAGTAAGTAAAGTCTGCTTTTATTGCACTCAGAGCACTTCAACCACTTGAAGATCATACGTTCTAGCGGAGAAGCCTGCAGAGAAGGGCGTTCTTTCAAGGTTACTAGTAATAGTTCTTGAAGTCTAGGGGATGATGGAACGAGGGTGTTTGAGCTAAGGCAGGTCTCTTCCTCGCCTCTGAAGCCGGGCCATCTTTCGGAATAGCTCCGTAGATTGCTCCCAAGCCCCCCTGACGTAATGTTGTAGCACCAGAGTCGGCCCGTGTGTCCGTAGTGTTCTTCGGAAACGTAAAGGTCAAGTAGGAAATAAAAATGCGGTGATCATCTCCTTTTGGTTCACATGTTAATCCACGTTTCCCGGCTTTCCCCGGCTTTTTCTCTAGCTTTTTGCACAAGGTTTATGATTCCCTTGCCTGTCTAAGGTCCTACTGGATATGCCTATAACAGAATTTCCTTCTGAGGGGACAAATTTATCGAAAATGTTGTCAAACAACACCATCGAGGTCTCCGGTTGGGTCTCATGCGCCTTCGGTGGTGTATTATCATAGTCTCACCTTACCAAAGCGCCAAGCCTGTCAGACATCGTGGAGAAACTTTCAGAACCTTCGACGTTGAAATTAATGTCCGATACTTTAAATCAACTGCACATTGTGCTATCATCACCGGCATGCTCTCGAAGTCTTTTTGGTGCCTCGCAAAACTTGATCCCACGAAGAGGGAACCGAGTAGACCGTATGCAATGTACAAAGGCTTTGCTGATTTGTTCGTATACGATGATCTTCGAAGGAAACATATATCTAGGAACCTAGGTATCTTCGGCTCAGTCGTAACTATGGTGGTATTTGTGAGAAAGTTTTAGGCTGGCAGCGGCTCAGGGGATTAGCTATGCAAAATCAGAATTTGCGCCGTCAAAGAACTGTTCAGAGTGTCTTGATACTTCACCTGTAATCAACGTCTCTGTTTGGTTCTACTGTGATGAGTTTCGAAAGGGCTTGCGCGGCCCATGCCATTTGCTGAGGTTGTAGGTGGATTTTGCTATGACTCGATATTATCGTGATGTGGGTGAGATTGGGACCCGTGGCAGTCATGAATGTAGACGGAAGTGGCCCGCCCATACAATTCACACAGCCTTCAGTCCTCGCTGATCATTTCGCAACCATTGAAGCTTCTTAGAGCATGTTCTAGTGAGAGATCAGCGGAGATCGGGCCACTACGGAATGGAACACTCGGAACATCGGCTGTCCACATAGTAATTGATCTGTAAGGCGAAATCGCATTTCGCCCGATGTCCCTTCCTACTGTAACGAAACAAACCTGTTGTTCTACCACGATTCTTTATCAAAGCAGACGAGTCATTGTCATTCCAGGAACCAAACTCAAATTGATTGAAGGCAAAGTACGGAATTATAGCCGGCGTTTGGTACGTCTTCGACAGACCTTCTGGCCAAAGCTATAAGTTGAGTGGTGTACAATGAACCGTGGTAAGGCTTTTGCTCGAACTTCACGGCCTTCTTATCAAGTACTGATTACCTACTCATCTCAAATGCTTACACTATCCTACTATTCAGAATGAAGGGAGGCATTTTCTTCGTGTTCATATCACTGGCTACTGCGGCTCTGGTCGCAAAAGACCCCTCAGGCTCAAAGGTTGTCCGGGGGCACCCCCATCCAGTCCGCGATGCCCCCCAAGAGTGTTGCTCGATGAGTTCGTCAGGATGTGTACGCCATTCTACACCCATGCTACTGTGTATCAATCGCTAATAGATCGTTTTTGTAGACTTGCGTGGCGTACACTGTTGCGGTTCGTATTATGCGGGAATCAAGTCACTCTACCACTACAAAGCTGATACCTTTACAGGAATGCGTTAAAGGATATTGTTTCTAAGGTCGCTTTCAAATCTTGATGCCATGAGGCCACCCTTGCTATTAGGACCATGATTTTAAAGATAAATGCTCTCGAGGAACACAGACTCGCAGGCTGGGTCCGCTAGAAAAAGAAACAGCCCAAAGGTGCAGGCTGTCTGCTCGTGCTTACACGTTTTGCCGATTATGAGTCAGTCAGCATATTAGAGAGAATAATAGCAGAACCACTTGAGCGATTCCAATGAGCATCAAACTTGACATTTGTCTCCGGGCTCATAGGAGCGAGATACCGCTTTCTGATATATGCACGGAAGGAAGGTGATTATCGGTCGATTTCACGTGAGACTCAAGTGACCTCTGTCCATTGCGCTAGCCAACATCACGCTTAGAGGCTACCGTTGACGTTGGACTAGCTAGAAGTCTATTCTTTGCCATGAATATGTCAGATGAGATGTGTGAAAGTTTACCACACATGATTCGGGCGACGATTCACCGCAAGGCAAAATCGGCATTCTACTTCACCCCCTAATGGCAATTTCAACATGCTGTGGGGGCGGGACCCAAGCCAGCCGGCGGGATGCCTTCGGCTATGCCGCTATGTAATATAAGGGCCATTACCAACATCATGCTTCTGGTTCATATGGATTTCTGGTCAGTTCTCAACGCATGGTCACTCAGTCAATCATAGCTTCAACTATCCGTATTCCTTCAGTAAACAGCTAGTGCAAGGCTGCAAAGCCTATGACATCATCTCGGTCAGTCTAAAATCCAATTCAGGAATCAACCGGCTATTTTATCGCTAGATGTTAGTATTCTGAGAGCTGAAAGATCGAAGATCAAACGTAAGTAGCTCTCAGCGGTTGGTAACCTCCCATTCTCATCGCGTTGACAAGGTTTTTAACGACTTCTTCACGTAGCGTTCATCCCGCTTAAGTCAATTCCGCCTGACAGATACGTTTGTAACCTCCATTTGCGGAACGTAGATCCATTTCAACCATGGCCAGCTTCAGTTGATATGCAGAGAGACCTTGTAGGTAATGCCGTCCGGATGTCTTCATATATATGCTCTCGGGGGTGGGGGGAGGGGGGGTTCAAGTGCAAAGGCATCTTGCGTTGAGAGTCATGGCGACCCGATTAACCCCAGAAGCCGGCGGGAGACTTTGCCAGCATACTCAGCCAGCTATAATTGCATTACTTTAAGATTGAACATACGTCGATCTCTATTACTGAGTCTCGAATTGAGCCGGAAGTCAGAGCGAATGGCACTTTCGTAGTGTGTCGTTGACTCGTTTTAAAAATGACGTTAAGATTCTTGCAGCCGAGCCTGCATGTCGCAAAACCTGGAGTTGGATGGCCGTTCTCCCCCCGCAAATCCACATGAGGCGCTGCAAACGTAACTAAAGTTATTCTACTGCCGACGACGGACTTGGACCTGGACCTTCAGTCCAAATTCACAGCCAACAAAGTGAGGTATCACGTAACTTAATGTTCATACCGCTCCGCGCATATAGAACTCTCTCTACGCAACGGACCTGATCTACCGGCAACTAAAAGTGGTACAAAGCTTGCTTGGAACTCATAGCGTGGGGAAGACTAGGTTAATAAAGACGTTCGGGAGACTCGTGAAAGCGAGCAGAGGATATGCTGAGCGATTGTTTACCAACAGGGCATGACTGCAACCAATGAGCGCGACTGTGCTGAAGTAATACTTTGAAGGCGAATAAGGTCTGTCTCCGTTTTGCGTCGGAAGATGTTCATACTGTAAGACATCGTACAGCCGACACCGTGTAGAAGGAATCATAGAGAACCTCTACCTGAAGTTCTTTGATGGTCAGGTGCCTAGACTTCAAGGCAACCGACGGGATACTCAGGAATGCCCTTGGCGAGTGGAGAACTTGAAACAACAATGAGTGCTAATGCAAGCGTATGCGACTCGTGACATATCATTCATTTATGTAGATGCAAACAAAGGACGGACGTCAATCCTTCTCCCCGTTCAGGACAGGCGGCCAGGATATGGCTTTTGCACGGGAGAAAGAAATCAGTACCTTAGCTTGAACATATACTCGTCACTGTCAATGGCCCGCCTCCAACTGTGAGCTGAGCAAGCCTACCATCTCACGCTTTGAGTTTTGTTTCGCTTCATGGTGTAGACCAGCTGTGTGTTGGTTCTCAAAGTTCTCATTGCTGCAACAGGGGATTGGCGAGACATGCACGCATAAGGAGTAAGGTCATGAGTGCCTACCGGCCGTAGCACCGATAACTAACTCACACCTGTAGCTTGATTTCATTCTCGTATGTGATGGAACATGTACGCCCATCTTGCCTATATCAGAGCAATCGGATCTGAATCATTTGAGCGGAATGTTTTGTATCCATTGTGTATGGAGCTATCTTTAGCGCATTCCTTTCGTCAAACACAAGTCTCGAGTTTGACGTTTCTTCCAGGCAAGAACACCACAAACGACCTAGTATCCTCTCTGGAATGAACTCAAGACCAAAAATCATAGCTCCATCTATTTCGGGGCGAGAAGTCTAGTGTTGGAGGATCGGACACGGATGCTAGTGCCCTTTCCACCAGGGTTGAGCGCCCGTACATTGGAGATGGTGGGGTTGGTGAACTGGATGCTGTTGGTGTTTCCGCTGCGAACACCGTTGGTCCGGGCACCCCATGACAGGCTGATCTCTGGGTTGGCAGTCGAGCGGCGACCCGGTCCGACGCCGAGAGGGTACTGCTGGCGGTAGGTGAAAGTTCCCTGGGTGAATCCGGGACCCTCCCGGGAGACGCGGCCGAAGCCGGTCATGGCGGCATCGCCCTCGAGCTCGATGCCTGCCTCGCCGGCGCGGGTCACGGTCGTGCCTACGTTGGTGACGGTAGCCTCGACAGCGGCAGTCTCAGCCGCTTCGGCGCCGGTGACGGCGAGGTCGACGGAGACATCTATGGTGGCGACGACCTCTGCTGCCTCGAGGACTTCTATGGTGAGCTCGATCAGGGCGAGGGCTCCCAAGATGAGCTGGGCCTGGGCATATGCCGCGAAGAGGAAAAGAGGGAGGAGGAGTCTCATAATTCCGACTTTGGTCGAATATGGTGTAAAAAAGGAATGAGATAAGAATGAGTGTGTAATTGAAGTGATTGGGTGTCAGTGAGAGACTGGATCGTGATGAGGAGGCACCAACATCTTGGTCGACATCGACCAAGTCTTAAGTATGTGATCTGAGAAAGCCCGAGCCCGGACTGACTCCGGACGTCTTCAACTATCTGTCCGATGATTGTGAATCATTAAGTTTTCCCGCGATAGTATCAATCAAATTGGATTATCAGCTACGAAGTTTCCACTTTGCCTAAATGGTTGAGAGATCTTCAACTGATTCCATTGTCACTTGCTCGCGAGTCGTGAGCGCCGGATATGGTTTCTGCCAAGATTCAGCACAGACACATCTTCTATGTTTAGTCGCCGAGAATTTCCTCAGACTTGGTGTAAGGTGATTGCCATCACGAGATTTAGAATTCGGCGATTAGCTAAGTCAAGTCGTGGTTGAGTCTATAGTGTAATCGTTTGAAAGGAGTAACTTTTTCGCGAGGTCATGTGAGGCTGATTGGTGATTTGAGTTAGACGACCTTGATGAGCTGGACGTTGGGTTATCTACCCTAGTCGCTTCTTAAGCGGAGTTGAAAATGTTTGTCTTTCTCCCAGTTCTGTCTCGTTTTCGGTGAGACTGATTGAAATCTCTCTGCCGTCTATAACACTTATTTGTCCGAAAACATCTATGATGCCTTTGTATTTGTGAGGCTTCTGATGCCGTGGATCGCCCACCATCCCAATACCGTACACAGTTCTTTTCGTAATATCCCCTTCTTTGCTAAATGTTCATGCATGGCATATGGGCCTTCTTGATTATTCTACTACTAATATCGATGATGTTACTTTCGCGATTGCCATAACATTCGCAATTCTCCGATCGGTCGTTGTTGTTCGGTTTCTAGCGTGATTCTTTCTTCGGCAATCCCGATTTACGAGGACTTAGGCCTCAAAGCGAGAGGTGCTAGGGTCATTCAGAGTGCGCCCAAAACTTTAATCTCGAACCATGAGACGATCCCGACTTTACAGTGGGACATTCTCGCCAGCGAGCCGGAGACATCGCGTAGCTCGGCTTTGATTGTTTGCTTGCCCCGTTCTCTTCCAAGAAAGTAAAAAACAGTGATTCTGCGAGTCAATTGCGCCAAGACTTGTAGCCTGGAGATGCCCTGTTGAGATTACGAGCGTGTTCCGTAGCAGGGGTTCATCCGGTCTTACGCAGTTACGAACTACTACATATATGATAATTAGCTACGCCGCGTCTAAGGTTGGTTGGACCATCTAAACAACAGCTCTCACGTTCATTTTACCAACATCATTTAACGCTCCCTACCCTCTACTCGGAAACCTTCACTTTGTACATTCTCTCTATTTTCACGATGCAGTCTTCTTTCTTCTTGGCTGCTCTCATGGCCGCGGTTGTACCCGCATTCGCCTACGAGGTGGGCACTGGCTCATGCTGCACAGCTCAGCTCAAAGCTTGCCACGAACAGGGTGCCGATGCCTGCATCTGGACCAACGCAGCCATTTGCGTCAACAACCCCAAAAACTCTGTCCCCATTGACGAGACTTGCAACGAGAAGTGCCCTACTGCCTCCGTAAAGACCCCGGATGGCTTCATCTACAAGTTCCAGAAGCACAAGTGAGTTCCTCGTTAGACTGGTGCCTGTCTTTTCACATACTTAGACCAGTGACTAATCAATTTAACAGCGCTCCCGCCGGTACTTGTGTTTGCAGCAACACCAACCCGAATGTTGGAAAATACTGCTACGGGCGTAAGAGAGACCAATTCCGAGGTACGGAGAGGGCCTGAATCAAGACATGGAGCTATTTAGATAGCGGCGTTTGCAGAATTGTTTTGAGAGAATGAATTATAAGCTTGGACCTTACAGTCATTTTGGGAAATCCATGAACTATTCAAATTCGCTGTTTGGTGGCCTTTGTCTATCCTCGTATCACTCTCGTGAAAAACCCTACATGTCGGGGACCGTTTCCCGTCTCACAGCTCTCTGCTAGGAACATGGGCCGGGGTTGAGTATTGCAATTCCATAGCCATATCACAAAAAGCTTCGGAAACCATGATCATTGTTTGACTTGTACACATGTCGTTGAAATGCGCCAATGATTTCCTCGATCTCAGGGTCTTGAGGTGGGAGGACGTGAGACATGATGAGACCACAGAAGCCGTTGGTTCGATCAATAAACTGTAACTTATGTTTAGCAGACAAAGTTGAAAGGGGAGAGGGCAAAAAGCGGACCCAAAATTGGTTCGTTCCACCACCCCATGCCAAAGTATTTGGTCCCCGGGGGCACTCCGCCTCGGAACGACGGCCGTCGATCAACATTCCTCCCAATCCCCAATTGTAGACCTCGCCGCGGTAGAAGTCGCCAATGGTAAGTTTTCGCCTGTCGAAGTCTGCTTGCAGAGCTGCTCTGCTTTGGTCCGACAAGTTGGCCTGAAACATCATCTCCACAGAATCGGGCTGGAGCACACGCCTGTCGTTGCTGAAGATGGAAAAGATGAGCTCCATGTAGTCTCCTGCGCTGCAGTAAGCCCCATGGCCTCCGAAGCACTCCGTGTCGACTCCTTGATTCAAGGTCAGGACATCAGGATGCACCTCGAGTCTCCCGGTAGTTACGTTTCTTTCCGTGAGGGTGGCGACCTTGTGATCTTTCCCCTCTGCGTTTGGCCAGAAAGTGAAGCTAGATGCTCCCAGGGGTGCCCACACGTGTAGTCTTAGATATTTTTCCAGAGACATGCCGGTAAGCTGCTCTATCAGTTTACCTGCCCAATCTGGCCCACAACCATAGTCCCAACCCTCGCCCGGTTCGAAGAGGAGCGGGTCATCGTAACGCTCTTCAATAGTGGGCTCCAAGGTAGCTGGGAGGCTTCCTCTGAGACTTCGAAGCCGTTTTAGGTCTTTGTTTTGGAAGTAGTAGCTCGTGCCGGCGGAGTGTGTCAATAAGTGGCGAAGGGTTATTGGGTTGCGACGCTCGTTGAGGATGGGTGAGCCGTCTGGCCGCCAGCCAGCTAAGACTTTTTGACGTCCCAGGGCTGGGAGTTTGGAGCTCACATCTGTGTCTAGTGCGAGGAGCCGTTTCTCTACAAGCTGTATTACGGCTACTGTGAGTGGGAGCTTCGAGCAGGAAGCTAGCGTAAAGACGGTGTCTTTGTCGATGGGGGCTTGATTGGGCCATGATGACGATGGCCCGCCTAGGCATTCGGATACGATATCGGATCCTATCATTGTGTTAGCTGCGAAGGAGGGTCAGGGTCCGAGTTTGATTATCTAACCATCGAGACGTTTGGCGAAGAGTATCAGCGAAGAGAACACGTCGTCCTGCAAAGAATCCTGAAGTAGTCTCTTGAAAGGGGTCATAGTAGGCAAGACGTCATGCAAGATTTAGAAGAGTTATTGCAGAAGCGACAGGTGATCATTGAGATTAAAGTCTTATGTTAGAGAACGAGAGAACGTGAGAACCTCGGCAGAAGGCTCCGAAGGGGCCCGTAAGAGGCAACACCTGGGCTGAAAAACTTCGCAAGCAAGTAGCTCTAGTTTCATCGGGACTACCTCATTGAGCAGATTTCATCACGTACTACTATGGAGCCCGCTATTCCCTATCACATATCTATACCTAACTGATCACATAAGTGGGGGGCAAGTGGTTTGTCCGGGCTATCCGCATTGCGAATTCTCGAATATGATATCTGAGAACGAGAAAGTCAAATTGCAATATTAGCATGGCTCTGCTGTGTGGGTAATGTCCGTGGACTCGGGACTTTATAGTTCGGTCTCGCATGGGTGGGGGTCATTCTATCGGGTTGGTTAATATCATTGGGTTGTCAATGACGATGACGCGAACGAGTATCTCATCTTGAAGGCGAGAGGATTAACAGCATCGCAGTATGGCCGGTTCCGTCTGATCTCATTTTGGATTGTTCTCTTTCAATCGTACAAAACAAGATCACAACGGACGCTCTGTTGAATGGCTTTTCACCAACTGCAGACTTGTGGTGGTATTATGACAGAAGTCAAATCCTTGATGCATCCACAATCAAACAGCTTTCTCGAACATTATGACAATATGTCGCCCAATTGCCCCTAGATCCCCCGCCGCTTCCCATGTAGTAAGCTAGGGTGAGCGGGGGTAAGCGAGATAAACGAGCGTATAAAGACTGAGGTTACGGTAACGAGGCCACTGCTATCGAGACCGAGATAATTAAAGGCTTCTTAAATAAATAAATGTTTATAGATGCAAATATAGTGGCTTCATTTTTTTTCGGTCTTATAAATATTGAAAGTTGACCTCGATGGATTAGGTCCTTTCAGAAGAATTAAGTGATAGAGCATATTGTCTTAGGTAACTACCATATGCAGTATATACACTGTACTCTGAATACGTTTTCAATTCAACGTAGTAATTTTAATATAAAAACTGTTATATAATTTGAGATAACTCCTTCTGCTGCTACGTCCCCCGGCTACACCAACCCGTCATTTCTGTTGGTTCTATTGCTTCTTCTGATGCCGCGCCACGGAAAGGTGATCGGCAAGAGACTGAAGGAGGCAAACGTTTGAGCATTAGATTAGGGGAGGTGCGATTGTGTGAGTGAAAACCAGTGCATATGAAACAACCTAGAGCTGTCGCGTTCTGGTCAAAACATTGTTTCGGTCAGAGAGCCATGTGCTGGATCCCCGTGCGTAACGTCAGACTGCTCAATAACCCTCCACATGGATCAACTAGTATGATGAAGTATAATGGGTAAACTTGATGCATATCTGATCATACAGCTGGTGTCATCTTCACACGCAGCTGATTCTTTTCAAAGAATCCATACCATTTTTGTTTCAGCCAATCCACCTCCTTATTTTCCAGCTCGACATCAAAATTCCACAAAATTGAAGCGATGATCAATCGAACTTCGTGATAAGCTAGACTATTTCAGTCAGCATTTTAAGTCGAAGAGACTAGAGATATGAACTAGGTCAAATACCTCTTTCCGAGACAATTCCTCGGCCCGTAGAGAAAAGGCTGGAAAACCTCCTTGTTGTCGTCTGAAAATTTAGATGAAGCGTTCGTAAGCCAACGCTCTGGCACAAACTCCATTGGAAAACTAAAGTGTTTTGCAGAATGATATGCTGCCATATGAGGTATTCCTACCGTGGTCTGCCACTCGGTCAGCAGTCGCATCTCCATATGCGGTACGGATACACGCAGCATCGATGACTCACTCCCTCTGGAACCCATTGACCGCAGATATTCGCCCCGCAGACTCGCTTCACGCGCCCCAGTGCTCCAGCAACAGGAGGATAGAGCCTAATAGCCTCGTCGATGCAGGCTTGGAGGTACTTCAAACCTTGGAGCTTGGAAATCGTAAGCTCGTCTTTTTCCAGGCTGCGAATCTCCTCGAGCAGAATCTTCATCTTGCTTTCGTTTTTGCAGAGGAAGTAAGTCAACCCACTGAGAAGACTTGCCGTTGTCTCAGATCCTGCGATGAGGAACTCGTACGAACTAGAGTACATCTCTTCTCGAGTTATGTTGTTCTGCTCCTCGTTACGCTCAACTAAGCTCCAGATATCGCCCCTGTCGGTGCCTTGCTCCAGGCGTTCGTCAACCCGCTTTACGGCGAAGTTGATGTGCTCATCTCTCATTGCCTTTATTCTCTTGGGTATCAAACGCGTGAAGAACGTCTCGAGAATTGGGTATGCACGAAGGAGTAAGGTGTATCCCGAGTACTTAAGTGATTCCTCGATAACCGAAACCCAGGGCACGAAGCTCTCACCACTGAGCATTCCCAAGGGTTTTCCAAAGGTCAAGTCCGCCATAATATCGAAGGTTGTAAAAGTGTACAGACGAGTCACTTCCACCGACTTGTCTCCCTGACACGTGGCCACCCGGTGCACCTGGTGGATTTTTTCAACCAGCATATCCACATAGCCTCGAATGAGGTCTTGCTGCCCACGAAGTGCTTTGTCTGAGAATGCATGGCTGAATATCCGCCGTTGGCGCCTGTGCCCTGAGTCGTTGGCGCGGATCAGGCCCCGAACATTAGGCGCAATATCTGGTCCATACATCACCAAGTCCTTTTCGAAGAGGTCTTGCCCGGACTTGTGGAAGCCATGAATATCCTTCCATGCCCGGTGATCAATGTAGCTGAGCTCATCTGGTCCAATCCGAACAATAAGACCATAGTGATCATGGAGCCGTTTGGGAGCGATGGCACCATCCCCTATGACTGTGAAGTAGAGTCGATAAAGCTTTGTGACTGCTGCGAGTTTCGGTCCGGGATAACGGCAAAGGGGATGAAAATAGATTCGATAGATGATGACTGCAAAGCGATGGATAGAGAACTAAGAGTTGGGGTTAAAACTGCTGTGACGGCCACGGCCGGGGTCGTTGTGACTGACGTACTAAGATGGCTACAGCAAGCGTGGCTTGTGCGACTGTAAAATGTGAATGGAACATATCTAAGGGTAGCAAACCCATGTTGGTGGAAGGAAATTGCATGGCTAATGAGTTGTTGGAAGAGTCGACACACACTGTGAGTGGTAGAGAACATGTTCTGAAGTAAAAGTTGTTGTTAAGTACTGGCGAAACGGCACGGCAAAGTTAACGGCAATGAGCCCGAAACCGAGCCCGAGTATGAAGTGGGTATGAACTTCCAAAGCCGCATCCAAAAATGTATGTTTTACCTGCCCCTGGACTTCCCACGGGGCAGGTGAAGGCCAAGTCTCTTTCTAATACCTAGGCTCAGTCTTGACTCGTCGCGTAACGTGTGCGATACCTGTGCACAATGTGAAAAATCGTCCA